TGAGTATAGAGGGAAATGCAGAAGTTTTTTCTCATATATGAGTTCTTCTTTCTGTACATTTTAGGAGATATATCTGTTTCTCTGTATTTTTCTCCTTAGCTTTGGATGTTTACATTCTTTTTTTGGCTAATCTTGAGTCACTCCTTTTGGGATACACAGAACAAGAGGGACTTAGTGGTAATGACTATGAAATAAAGGTAAAACGGATGGTTTTCACTCAACAAATGTTTTATTGCATACCTACTATGTGCTAGACATTCTTTCAGTTGCTGTGGTGCATCAGTGAATAAAAGATTCCCTGCATATGTTGCTTATGTTCTAGTGAAGACAGAGAAAGGGTAGACCTTTTAGAAAACATGTCCTTGAAAGTATAGAGAAAATAAATGTGACTCTCAGAACTGGATGTCATTGTCTTTTAGAGGGAGAAATTTGTGATGTATGAAAGCAATGCTGATATCATGTGCTTGTTATACGTTTTATAATATAAATTAGTCATGAATTGAGTAAGAGCTATAAAACATTGGATGACCACAAAACTACAAGTCAAATTATCCAAAGAATCTCAATCTTTTGGGGCACTTGGGTGGTTCAGTTGGTTGAATTGCTGACTTCGGCTAGATTATGATCTCATGGTTTGTGAGTTCAAGCCCTGTGCTGACAGCTCAGAGCTTGGAGTCTGCTTTGGATTCTGTCTCCCTCTCTCTCTCTCTGCCCCTCCCTGCTCATGCTCTGTCTCTCAATATAAATAAACATTAAAAATTATAAATAAGTAAATATACATTTAAAACAACTACTCATCAACATTGATATTAAAAAAAAACCAGAATCTCAATCTTTCAAATAACTCAAATGTATCTGGGTTCATAGTAGGACTCTAACATAAAATCAAAAAGATACCCAACATTTAAATACAGGATCTCACTCTGAAGCAAATGACCTTTAACGTGTATATTATTTGTAAAAATGAAAAATAAAATTTAGGTGCCTCATTGAAACTATGAGGAGATAAAGTCTAAAAAACTTCTAGCGAGGCGCCTGGGTGGCTCAGTTGGTTAAATGTCCAATTTCGGCTCAGGTCATAACCTCACAGTTTGTGGGTTGGAACCCCGCATCAGGCTCTGTGCTGCTAGCTCAGAGCCTGGAGCCTGCTTCGGATTCTGTGTCTTCCTTGCTTTCTGGCCACCCCCCACTCACAATCTGTCTTTCTCAAAAATAAATGAACATTAAAAACATTTTTTAATTAAAAAAATAAAAAACTTCTAGCAAGTAGTCAATGATAAATGGAAATGAATATTTGAAATTCGAAGACATGTAGGTTATCTATTCTCTTTACTCAGTATGATATTTTTGTATTTAGTGACTATGAGGAATATCCTTAAGGACTTCTATAGGCTCATTCATTCTGACCTTGTTTTTATACCTGTTTTTCCCTAAAAGTCATAAGTTTCTATACCACACATTTTTCTACCACAGAGACTTTCAAGAAGGAAGATTGCTTCTCTCTCTCTCTCTCTTTTTTTTTAAGTCACTGATCTAATGTTTATTTATTTTTTTAGAGAGAGAGACAGACAGAGAGAGCGAGCGAGCGAGCATAGGGGAGGGTCAGAGGGAGAGAGAATCTCAAACAGACTCCACATTATTTTTGAGCCTGAGGCAGGTCTCAATCCCACGACTGGGACTATGACTCCAGCCGAAATCAAGAGACAGATGCTCATTTGACTGAGCCACCCAGGCAACCCAAGATACAACATCCTATTGTCCAGTTATTTTTCAGTCCTCGTGTCTGTGGAGTTTCTAGAACCACACTGATACTCAGGTGCCTAGAGCATGTTCTCATGGCGGCAGTTAACCTCTCTTTAGTTTTAGTTTCTAAGGGAAATAAACCAAATGAGTGGTGGAGGAAGGTGCTCTCACCAACAAGAGTTCCCCCTATATCAGGTAGTGAAAAATGGTCTCAATCACAAGAGTACACTACAGGAAAACCCAGTTGTCTATGGGGATATCTAAGTGTGTTAATACTCCAGAAGAGAAGGCATATATGAGTTATATGACCCTTTTCCCTCCTGGTTCTCCTAATTTATTCCCTCCCTTGTCCCTTCTCATCTAGTGATTGTAAATAGTTGAAGTGTTACTAAGCCCCAGGTTCATCAGCTTTTTCTTGTTGTTCTTCTACTCCTCCAACTTTATAAATAGTCCCTACATTAAAAAAAAAAAAAAACCCTCCTCAAATTATTCTCTTTTGCATGGGCCATCCATTTTCTTTTGGGAAATTGGTATAATCCATTCAAATGTCTTAAGTGTTTTGCATATGTATTGAAAGGTACAGGGTGGTGAAGGAGGTCGGTTGGAAGAACCATAAAGGCCAAGATCTTCATTAAGAGGAGTTTTACAGGGACGCCTGGGTGGCTCGGTTGGTTAAGCATCTGACTTTGGCTCGGGTCATGATTTCAAGGCTCGTGAGTTCAAGCACTGCATCAGGCTCTGTACTGACAGCTCAGAGCCTGGAGCCTGCATCAGATTCTGGGCCTCCTTCTCTCTTTCTCTCTGCCCCTCCTCTGCTCACTCTCTGTCTTTCAAAAAATAAATAAAAATATTTAAAAAAAGAGGAGTTTTACAAATGAATAAACAGACAAAAAGCAGAATCAGATCCATAAACACAGAGAACACACTAATGGTTGCCAGAGGAAGGGGTGGAGGGAGCAGTAGCGTGGGTGCAGGGGAGTGGGAGACACAGGCTTCCAGTTATGGACTGAATAAGTCATGAGAATAAAAACACAGCACAGGGAATATAACCTATGACATTGAAATAGTGCCGTATGGTAACAGAATAATGTATCAAATTCTTGAATCACTATGTTGTACACCTGAAATGAATGTAACATTGTGTGTCAACTACACTCAAATTTAAAAAAAAGGAACAAATATTTTGATTTAGAAAAGAAGAGTTTTTCAAAATGGATAAAGGACCTGAATGTGAGACAGGAAACCATCAAAATCCTAGAAGAGAAAGCAGGAAGCAACCTCCTTGACCTCAACTGAGGCAATTTCTTACTTGACACATCCCCAAAGGCAAGGGAATCAAGAGAAAAAAAAACGAACTATTGGGACCTAATCAAGATAAAAAGCTTCTGCATGGCAAAGGAAACAATCAATAAAACAGAATGGGAAAAGATAGTTGCAAATGACATATCAGATAAAGGGCTAGTTTCCAAAATCTATAAGGAACTCACCAAACTCCACACCCATAAAACAAATAATCCAGTGAAGAAATGGGCAAAAGACATGAACAGACACTTCTCCAAAGAGGACATCCAGATGGCCAACAGACACATGAAACGATGCTCAGCATCCCTCCTCATCAGGGAAATACAAATCAAAGCCACACTGAGATACCACCTCACACCAGTCAGAGTGGCTAAAATGAGCAAATCAAAAGACTATAGATGCTGGTGAGGATGTGGGGAAATGGGAACCTTCCTACACTGTTGGTGGGAATGTAAACTGGTGCATCCCCTCTGGAAAACAGTGAGGAGGTTCCTCAAAAAAAAAAAAAAAATCAACAATAGAACTCCCCTATGATCCAGCAATAGCACTACTAGGAATTACCCAAGGGATACAGGAGTGCTGGTGCTGGTGCGTAGGGGCACATGTACCCCAATGTTGATAGCAGCACTCTCAACAATAGCCAAAACATGGAAAAAGTGTAAGTGTCCATCAACCGAAGAATGGATCAAGAAGATGTGGTTTATCTATACGTTGGAATGCTACCTGGCAATGAGAAAGAAGGAAATCTGGCCATGTGTAGCAACATGGATGGACCTTGAGGGTATTATGCTGAGCGAAATAAGTCAGGCAGAGAAGGACAGATACCATATATTTGCATGTATAGGTGGATTAGGAGGAACTTAACGGAGGACCATGGGGGAGAAGAAGGGGAAAAATAGTAGGGGAAAGGGAAAGAGGCAAACCATGAGAGACCCTTGAATGCTGAGAACAAACTGAGGGCTGATGGGGCTCGGGGAGAGGGGAAGGAGGGTGATGGTCATGGAGGAGGGCACTTGTTGGGATGAGCACTGGGTGTTATATGGAAACCAACTTGACAATAAACTAAGAAAAAAAAGAAGAGTTTTAAAATTTGGATGACATACCTTCAGATTCTTCTAAAAGAAAATCCTTAAAGGATTAGACAATATGAATTTTGATGGGGTGTATTCTAGGTAGAGGGGAAAGCTTGTGCAAGAGTGGCAGGAAGCACTGGGCATGCTTGGGGCCTGCAGTAAATCAGTCAGAATGGGGGAGGGAAGAGAGAGTAGAGACGTTTTGGGAGATAAGGTGTGTTGGGTTCAGATTTTTTGCACTTTGAACTCCAGGTTAAGGAACTGCTTTTATTTTATATTCACTGCAGAGTCCTATAGCTTCTACAATTCATAAGAGTAATTTTTACTATGGTGTGGATGAGGAGGTAGAGGACAAAAGACTAGTCAGGAAATCAAGAGAGACATAGTGAAAGTGGAGGGGACAGAATTTGGTGTCTTAGCACATGGGAAAGCGTGGAACAGGAAGGAAACAATATGTGACCCAATATTTTCAAGTTGAAGTGCTGTGCAATGTTAATGCCATGCATAAGCAAAGACATAGAAGTTATAGAAGTCTAGGGTTTAGGAGCAAATAGAATGTCAAAATTTTGGGCAGAACATACTTCCAAAGTTGCTGTCCCATTCTCATCCTCTTCAGCCTTTCTTAAGGCATTTTCCTATCTCACAAGGTAGTCAAGGTCATAGAAGTAATGCACCCATTTGTTTCTAAACAAATCATGTCAAACAGTTTGAACCAATTTAATGAGAAGAAAAGAAGATGAATCCAAAGAGTTCAGAAGTTTCTTCTCAATAGACTTAAATTCAGTTCAGTGTAAGTTAACAGTTTATGGAACGTTTGCCACACACTGCAGTAGTTGAGAGATGCGGTAGCAATGGTGCCGTAGGAAGTCCCAGAGCCTGGAGTTACTTGTTTTCCCTGGCAGCCCCTCCGCCTGCTGTTATCCTCTTCAGAGCAGACTTCACTTCCTGGTTCCTCAGGGTATAGATGAGGGGGTTCAGTAATGGAGTGACAACAGTGTAAAACACAGCCACTGCCCCATCCAGGGGACTCTTGGAGCCAGCCCTGAGGTAGATGAAAATACAGGGGACATAGTAGACTGTGACGACGGTTAGGTGGGAGCCGCAGGTGGAGAAGGCTCGGCGCCGCCCATCAGCAGTGCGTATCTTCAGGATGGTGTGGACTATGTAGGCGTAGGAGAGCAGAATTAACATGAAGCAACTGGCAGCCACCACCCCAATGTCCACAAAGGTCACAAGCTCATTGACGGTTGTGTCAGCACAAGCCAGTCTCAATATTGCAGGAATGTCACAGATAAAGTAATCCACTTGGTTGGGCCCACAGTAGGGCAGGCGGAAGGTCAGGGTGGCCTGGACAGACCCATGGATGGAGCCAGCCACCCAAGCCCCAGCCACGAGGATGGTGCATAACCTCCCATTCATGAGCACAGGGTAGCGCAGAGGCTGGCATATTGCCAGGTACCTGTCGTAGGCCATCAAGGTATAGAGGAAGCACTGGGTGCTGCCCAGGAAGTGAAAGAAGTACAGCTGAGCCACACAGCCACCAAAGGGGATTGCCTTGCTGGCTGGAGTGAATTTTAATATTATTCGAGGGACAATGACTGAGGAGAGCCACATGTCCAGGAATGAGAGCACGCCCAGCAGAATGTACATGGGGCGGGTGTGGAGCTTTGGGTCAGCCCACACGGTGAGCAGAATGAGCAGGTTCCCCAGCTGAGTCAGGATGTAAATGATGAAGAAGACCAGGAAGAGGAGAGTCCTCAGACTGGGGGGGTGAGGTAAACCCAGGAGAATGAAGTCCGTCACGATGGTGTCCAGGGATGTGTTTTTGGTCTCTCCCATGTCTTTCTGTCGTCTGTGGAGATGAATGGTGAAGTCAGACAAGGGAAATTTACATAGGAGGTTGTGAGAGAATGGTTTTGCCTGATGATTAATGCCTGTCTGAATGATGAGATAAACAGAAAACTGTCACAACTGTATTATGTATGTATGTATGTATGTATGTATGTATGTATATTTTAAAGAAGCGGTGTTGCCATCAACTATTTTGGTCAACTTTATAAGAGAAACTGTCTAGAGACTGGTTAGTTTTCTAGAAGGATGGATACTTTTATTGACTGAGAGATACTGACAGCAGAATTTGGCAGACCAAGGCACAGGGGAACGTGTGAATAATAGAGAAGGACTCCAAACAAAAAGCCCAACCACTGAAGAGGGGATAAGTAAGGTTAAGGCAGAGCAGTGCGGAATATATTTCCCACAATTACTACACTTTCCCCTCCACTTCCCATCATTGCTAAAATCCCATCTCCTCACCCTAGCATGCAAACACATTCATTATATGGCCCTTATTTGTCACTCTGTCACACCCCTTGCAATACCTTCTTAGTATTTAGTTCAAAGGACCCCTCAAGGCTCTCAGAGTGGTGTATTCCAGCTTGGAGCCTATGCACACCATACATTCTCTGCTCCCTCACCTGCGAAATGCTCACATTTCCTTCAGGACTGAGTTTGGAGACCCTCATCTGTAAGAAAATTTTCCTGACTCCTGAGGACCATGCTTACATGTATCATATTCTACGACTATTGTTTAACTTCTTATTTGTCTTCCCTATGACTTATTTGTCTTCCCTATTAGTCATCCCATCTAAGACAGTAAACGTGGTCATCATTTTCTGAATGACTGAATGGCCAGTGGATTGGATGTTACCAAACCCCACTAAACAGATACAGCGTTTCTTTCTCCGCTAGATCTTGTTTGTCTGATCCTTGGACCTACTGACTGGCAAGGGACCATCTCATTCTTATGCAATATGAATTTAGTTTTATTATAACAAACTCCAAGAGCCACTCTTGTTTTTTATTGCTCTAGGATATTATTTAGATTTATTGGTTGATTGATATGGTCCATTGGTTTGGAATGGATTTTTTGGTATGGAGTTATAGAGCAAGTTTTATTGCTTATTATAATCATATTGATTAATGCAGGACTTGATCTTTAGTGTGTGTGTGTGTGTGTGTGTGTGTGCGTGTGTGTGACAGTCAACCATACAGCAACTCTCTCAAAAGACCTTGAGAGAATTTGAATTCCCTGGTCCAGATGGTAAGAAAAGATAGAGGGATGACATGTATTAGTTGAAGAGACTATTTGATAAAGATTTTTCTCCCCACACTGAGGTTTGAGATGGATTCATCTGCCATTTAACTGTAGTATCTTTGTAACTTACATTACTATTTTCAGAGAGCAATTTAAATGGTAACAGATTAATTATAAGTAACATGTAAGTATTAATAGGTTTAATCCTTTAATCTCCATGAGGAAACACCCCCCCCCTCCCCGAGAGATTTTATTTCGGTTATTTTTAAAAGTGACTTAATCCACATGTTAACTTTTGAGAGCTATTAATGGTAACAATAATACTTAATATACTTGACTTTTCAGCTCAGGGTCCATAGAAAATGTTAAGCATGCCCTCTGCCCACAGAAAAAGAAGAAATGTCAGATGTTACTGCCTGAGTTTTAGGAGGACACCTTGATTTATTTGAAAATAGATGGGAAGACTCATTCTTCTTTCTTTGGGTAGAGTATACAGAAAGGATAGAAATAGTTGGGATTAAGATTAATGCATAAAACAGTAATTATGAGCCAAAGTAATTTTGTTGTCAATATAGACACAGTATTAGTTGCTTCCACTTAGGCAAATGATATAATCTTGAGATTTTTTTTAAATGAAAATAAATTTTTGAATAAATAATTAATAGAACTGTGTCACTGGGGGGAATTATTTAAGGGATTTCCATAATGTGTATTTATGTATAGTGAAAAATCCTCTCTAATTTATCTGCCTTGCGAGTCTGATTTTTCTCGTTTGTTGTGCATAAATCAGGCTCCACTTTTCCCGGGTGCCCTACTGTAACCTTTTAGTCTCTAGTTTCTGGGTGCCCTGCTTGGTGAGATCAGGAAACTGAGGTGTGTTACAGCTGGTGGGTTTGAAAGTGAGTTACTTTCCTAGGCTGACGAGGCAGAGGATGGTGGTTTTGACTTGGGGTGTGGTGTTCAGGGGTTGCAGAAGCGGGCAATCTGTGTTGCAGAGAGGTTGGCAGAGTAGATTTCCAGAAGGTGGATTTTTGGAGAAACAGGAAGTAAGTTTGAAGACGGATCAGTTCTCTTGACAGAGAGAATAAAATAGTCTGGCCCCACTCCATCCCATTCCACCCCACCCCAGCACCCCCATCCACCCTCTATCCCATCAGCTTTATGTGTCATTTTGCTTTGGGTCTGCTCCTGTTTTCAGCTGGGGAAACCTAGGTTATTTAAAGTAAGGGAAGGGGCAGACTGAAAATATTTCAAAAAATTAAAACCAATTTCAGCGTATCTACCCTGGCTAATTAGATAAGCAAAGTATTTTATTTTATTTTTTGTTTATTTATTTATTTTGAGAGAGACAGAGACAGCAAGAGTGTGGGAGGGGCAGATAGAGAAGGGTAGAGAGAATCCCAAGCAGGCTCTGCACTGCCAGCACATAGCCGGGCAAGGGGCTAGAACTTACAAAAGGGCGAGCTCATGACCTGAGCTGAAACCAAGAGCTGGACACTCACCCGGCTTGAACCGCCCAGCAGCCCCATAAGCAAAGTATTTTAAAGTTTCCCTAGTTTAAGGGGCACCTGGGTGGCTTAGTCGGTTAAGCATTGGACTTTGGCTCAGGTCATGATCTCACTGTTAATGAGTTTAAGCCCCATGTTGGGCTCTGTGCTAAAAGCTCAGGGCCTGGAGCCTGCATCGGATTCTGTGTCTGCTTCTCTCTCTGCCCTCCCCCACTCCTACTCTGTCTCTGTCTCTCAAAAATAAACATTAAAAAAAGTTTCCCCAGTTTTAGAATATTTGATGCTGCTAAAATCATGTTGTAAAATAGCTGGAATTTAAATATGAAAACACATAAAAATAGCACAAGGTTAAATACCAACATAAAAAGCATCTGAAAATGAGGGCCATGATATCAGAGAATAAACTCTACATGTTTAAAAAGTTCTGTCCTAAAAACTCTAGGGAGATACCGTGGAGATGGGGTGAAACGGTGGCAGTGAGAAGATAAAGACAAGTCGGGTAAGAATTCTATGGAGTTGTGGGGTCATGGGATGGGCTACTTTCTGTATCCTCCCCACAGCCCCCAAATCAGGCCAGTTTGGTGTGAGCACATCTTTCTCTCTCCCTCTCTTTTTTAAGTTTAATGTTTACTTTGGAGAAAGAGAGATGGGGCGTGAGCTAGGGAGGGGCAGAGAGAGAGGGAGACAATCTAAATCTGAGCTGTCAGCACAGAGCCTGACTCATGGCTCGAACTCATTAACCCATGAGATCAAGACCTGAGCCAAAGTCGGATGCTTAACTGACTGAGCCACCCGGGCACCCCATTGTGAGCACATCTCTTACAGAGAGTGCCTTTCCATTTGGAGGGGCTCAGGGGAAGCCAAGCCTCTATCTGTCTACCTCTGGGATTTGGGCCAGGAGGGCACAGTTATGAAATCCTTGAAGAGGAGGAATAAAGACTGGTAGTGTTGTGTTAGACATAATTAAGATCAAAGGACCTCTTATTTACCCTTGGGCAAGACCCAACCCAAATTTGTTTCTGGAAAAAAGATTATTCTTTCTTTATACTCATGCACCTTTAGACATCCTGGTAGAGCAAGAGCAGTGCAGGTGACTGCAGAGAGTTTGGGGTGGCCCTGACATGTTTTATCTATTCTCACAGGAGTACAACATATTCTACCAAAGATTTTTAACAAGGAGCTTGCCTAAGGCGAGGTACCTGGTGTCCTCTGCACCAAAGAAAAGAAAGGTCATGAATCTGGCTTATGTTTGCACAATTACCAAGGAATCTTCTTCATGACCTCTGTGGCTCTATCACTGCCCAGCCGTGCCCTAAAAAAGAGAAAATTAAAAGAAAATAGTGTTAAGATTCTTCTGAGTATTTTTCTCATCGTAAAAAGAAATTCTTTACTTTGGAAAGAATGAGCTGAATTCTAGCAGTCTGGGAAAGAATTGAGGAAGCGGATGAAGAGACTGGCTGAATTAACACCTGGATGAAATAACAGAAAATGTTAAAGTTCCAAAATCAGTTGGTGACTGAATTTTGAGTGGAGCTGGCTTTAGAAATGCGTTTCCATCTGCTTGCACTCACTGGACAGAGCCACAAAGCTGTGGAGGAGGCTGGCGGTCCTCGAGCGGAATCGCAGAATGGTCCAGTAGCCAGAGAACTGTCCTTCAGAGAGCTGGTCCAGCTTGTGGTAAAGGACTCTGCATCTGTTTAGGGAAGGCTTTAGAACTCTTTCAGGACTTTTGCCCAGCAAATAAGTATTCAGAATCTCTGAAAGCACCTGCCTTTCATGGCTCTTTGATGAGTGTGACTTCTCTATCTCTTGAGTCATGTTTTACATTGGTTTTCATCAGCTATTGCCTCTGCAGCTTTGATTAGAAGGCGGGGGGGGGGGAACCCCACACTGTTAAGAGATACGAAGAAAAAATTCTAATCTCAGGGGAAATCTTGCTCTAAAGTATTTCCCTAATGAGATCTTCCCTCCCCAAATCCTCATTACGTTATTTTGAGAGAGAGCAGGAAACCTTTCTCTTAGATCTCTGGAAAGGGAGCTATGGGGAATAACATTGTCAGTATACTTTTGGATGACCTCCAATTTCTCAGTGGTGTCATGAAGTCTCAATTGATCCTCTCTCTCCCCACATACCCAACAGGGGACCCATGTTATGCCCTTGGGTTTCTGTTCCGATTTCATCTAATCAGTGAAGTCTCTCTTTATCCTCCTTACCTGTTTCCTGTTGTATTTTTCATTTCCTTATTTGTTTGTCTTCCTTCATTAGAATGTAGGCTCCATGACAGGTGATTCTTTTGCTCACTGTACAA